CAAGAAGTGAATGATCTTTATTCGTACGAGTTTTAATAAGTCCAAAACTAAAACACTTCATCCATGATATTTGGAGCATGATTGAACCAAAAAGTGAACAATTTTTGGCTCCTACGAGTTTCAATGAGCCCCTGATTGAAAGATTTCGTGCATGAAGTTTGAAGCATGATTTAACCAAAAAGTGACAGATATTTGGTTCGTACGAGTTTTAATGAGTCCAACACCTATAAACTTTGTGCATGAGGTTTGACACATAATTGAACAACAAATTGAACGATCTTTGGTTTGGAAAATCATTTTAAGTAATTATGTTTAAATTTAAGTTTATTATAAATAATATATCTAAATTTATATTGGTAATTTTATTTAGAAATCATTCTTAATAATTATCCTAAAGAATGTATTTAACAAAATTAATCATTTTCATCCATTTAATTGGTTCTCTTTGTTATAATTTTACAAAAAAAAATTAAGTATATACTTTAATAAATTAATTTATTACAATAGAATAATTAATTTAGTATATTATTAGCAAAATTTTAATATTGTTTAATTAATTATGAATTTGATTGAAATATTTTAACTAATTTTAATAAAATAAAATTTTTAAAGAAAATAATTATTGAAAATAAGAGAGAAAAGCATGGTACAAAACTCATGGACAATCCCATGAAAATGGAAGGGCAAACAAAACTCTTGATCCAACACCAAACAAAATTGTGTACCAAACATATGTTTAGCTTGGGGATAACAACAAATATAGCTATTTAAAATGAGTGATTTCAAAAAATGGTCAAACAACTTTTAGTTTTGAAAAATGGCCAACGTAAAAATAGAAAATTCTCTCCTAATTTTATAGGTACGAAATTACCCAATGAATATATTATTTGTCCGGAAAATCATACCTATATTTTTTTTGATGAATCATTCAAATATTTTGAGAATCTTAACTGTATTTTTGAATTCAAATATTTTTCCGAGGGAATTTTACTCACAACCCTAAAAAGAAAAAAATATTAATTAAATTAAAATCTAAAACAAAATTTAAACAAAAAAAATAATTTTAGAAATAGAAATACCAAAATTTAAACAAGAAAATCATTTTAGAAATGAAAATATGAATACTGAAGATGGAAACAAATACAGTAACAAACATGATGAACAAATACGGTGAAAAAATGAACAAATACGGTGAAAAAATGAACAAATATGGTGAACGAATGAACAAACACGAACAAATACAGTAACAAGCATGATGAACAAATACGGTAAACAAATGAGCAAATACGGTGAACAAAAAAACAAATGTGATGAACAAATGAACAAATGCGATAAATAGATAAACAAATATCTATAAGGTGAACACATAATGTTTATTTTTGTGACACAATTAAAACAAAAAATAATAATTTCTACCTCAATAGAAACTCATACAGTTACCCCACTCCTTTATAACCCCACTCCTTTTACAACATTGTCAATTTACAGCTACGTCACCTCCACAATTGTGTGTTGTGTGTCTCACTTTGTGTGTTGTCCTCTTTGAGTTACGGTATGTTATATTCAAATATATATTTAAAAAGTGAGATAGATGATTTCTAAAATCTATAAGAGAAAATATAGGAAAGAGAGATAATCTAACAAAGAAACATATTTGAGAATGTGAGGAGGATATTATTTTGATTTTGAAAATAATAACTAAATAGGAAGGTGGTCAAAATCAAATTTGTAAAACAGTTAGAAAAATCGAAATGAACATTTTTTAGCTTGTCTATGCCCATTCCCACCCAACAAAACCTCCAACCAAAGGGACCTAAAGGACTTAGAAGGAATAAATTCAAAGATCACTTACTTCAAATTTAATATCATATGAGTTTTTTTGGCAACGATCCAATATTAAGTTGCACGCAAGTTAGCTCAAACATTCACGAATATATAAATAAATAAATAATTTTTCATATATTTATTCAATACTTACAAATCAATACAAAAATAAACAATAACAAACACGTAATTTCTCCCGAGAAAAATCTGATTCTGAACCCACCCTGATTCTCTGTAGGCAAGCTCGACCATCCATTTATCTTTCATGGAAACACTTATTGCAAAATTCATTTACATTTTTGACCATGCAACTTGACCAATCTTCAAATCAAACTATATACAATGAAACTCCAAAGAGCACCAAAAGAAACATGACTTACATCCACATCTGTGTGTAAGAAAGAGCTATTTAGATTAGGAATTAATATGAAAAAATGTGGACATGATTGATGATGCAAACAAGAACCAAAAATATTCAACTGAAGGGTGTTTTGTTTTATAAACATAAGAGACGAACATGGATATATGCTTCATTGTCGTGTGATCGGATAGTTGAGAGAGGCTTTTTCCCTTTTTCCTTTCCACATAAGAGATATTAATACAAGGAGTTGGTAAACCAAAAAATTCAGATCAAATGTAGTAGTAGTAGTAGCAGCAGCAGGGCCCAAAGTCCATCTCATCATCATACTTTTTGCAACTGCAACCAACCATGATTCAGTTACATAAAAAACACTCCCACTCGAAACTACCTCCTAGTTGAGTTGCTCAAAAGAAACTAAGAAGTAATTGATCAACATGGGAAAAGAAGAGGAGATGGATCTCTCTGCAATCTTCCATTAGACAGATCTAACTTGTTCATTTTCTCCTCGCACCATACCAGCTGTTCCTTGGTAATCCTCGACATTTTAACCAGTCTTGATATGATTTTAATATCCACCACTCCCAAAAGTAACTGCATGTCTTCGTATGTTTGAGGCCACGTTTTCTGCTTCCGCCTTCTACTCTTCTTCCTTACTTCTTTCAGCTTCGTCTTCTTCTGCCAACACCCAAAACTCTTTCACACTATTCTCTAACTCAAAATTCGTTTATCGAATATGATATTCATATGATCAAATCATTCATCACAGAGATTGAATCGTCATGAAATTAACAATTCTAGTTATCATCCATCTTCCATGTTCTCAATACAAGTGCCTAGTCTAGACTAGACATTACTATATTTATTTATGCCAAGCACGGTACTAAGAAATATGCAGGAAAAAGGAACTTTTCCATTTCCAAATATCAGTAAAGAAGGATGAGCTTAGGACGAAAGCATCATATACCTTGTCAAGGGAAGATCGAATGTGAGCGAGGAGAGTGGTATCCTGGGTGTGGTTTCCAAAACCAGAATTTGAACTTTTTTTGTCCATCTTCAGGAAACGGTGGAAAGTAAAGATTGCAGCTTCAATAATCAATATGAGATCAGGAGCAAGGACAACCAAATCAGACTCTTCTTCCTGCACCCCCTTTGGATCCGAACCTGAACAATATTGAATTGATTAGACTTATAAAACCGTATTTTCCTATGCTATCCTTAAATAAAATCAAAGGCATCACATTCCCAACCATAGATACGTAAAATACCTTGTATGTTAGGAACCTGCAACAATTTAGGAAAAGATCGACGAGTTCGGGCGTAAATTCCTGGCCTGGGACCTTGTTGGAAGGGTTCATCTTCAATAAACCTTTGCAAGAGGACTTGAAATTGCTGAAACTGCTGAGCAGTAAGATTGTAATGAGAAGGGGGTTGGGGTTGGCATGAAATGAGGTGGTTGAGTTGAGTGTACTGGCAGTGGAGGGCCTCCCAAGACAAGCAAATGTGAGCAACATACGCAGTTTCAATATGGTGATTGGAATCAGTGAAGGGCAGGGGAGGGTGGAGATGCTCCGTGTCGTCTTCAGGTTCTTCGATCCTCTTCAGAGAAAGACAGCGGAGAGGAGATGCAGTCTTTTTGGATGCAGATCTTGATCTTGGGGAGCGGGAGGGTGTTTCAGAGCCTATATTCGTAATGCAAATTTCAATATTAGCGGGCGGTTAATAATAAAAAGAAAAACATAAGCAAGAGGCAAAAGGAGAAGTTACCGAGTTCGATGAGCGGCTGCATGCTCATCCGATCATAAAACAGCATCCTCTCACTATACTTGTCATACAGAGTACCAAACCCGCCCCACCACAGTCGACCTTCTGCTTCCACATCTCTCCATTCCTGCTCACCACAACTTGTCTCCCCTTCTTCCTCTTCCTCCTCCGCGCACGAATCTTCCTCCGGAATCAATACCATGAAATTGTTCCTCCTCAATTCCTTCAATCTCCTCTTTACTTCGTTCATTATAAAATCCTCCTCATCGTCTTCCTCTTCCGCTTCCGCTCCTGCTGCTTCATTACACTCGCCCTCACCCTTGTCCTCGCCCTTGTTTGCTTTCCCCGACTCATCACTGCCATTCTTCGACTTGGGATCTACACCCGCGCCATCCTGCAAATCCCTTTCCCTACCCTGTTTACGGCCTTCCTCAACTTAATAACTTTAAAAATAATCAATTTGGAAAGAGATAAAACCTCAGATGCGCTATCCAGTAACTGCTTAAATCCCTCTACTGCAGCCTTTTGAGCAGCTCTTTTTTCCTCCGGTTCCTCGTCAGCACAGGTCTTAACATAGTGTTCAAATAGGGACCTCCTTGCTGAATAACTTGGAATAGCCTGCCATTAAATGATACTTTCCATAACAAATAACAAACAGTAATCCAGCACATAAAGGCCAAACACAAACATAGTGTTCTTTTTCTTTATATAGAAAAAAAAGGTTTCTCGTAATAAAATATCAATTAATCCTTCTGTGCCCCGACTCTAAAGAAAAAATAAAATATCAAACAGAAGGGATAAGGCATTATACAAAGAACAAAGAGAATCCTAAAAACCAAAACCACGTTCTGGTACTGAGAAAAATGAAAATACCAAAACAATATAACCACAAAGATCAAAGTCCAAAAAGAAAAGAACAGACAAGGAGATGTTACATAGGTAGTTTTTTTATAAGAAACAAATAAGATGTTTTCCATTCAAAAAAGAGACAGCCTAAAGGCAGTTGAGAAAATGTTAGACCTCCAATCACGAAGACTTATTCTAGAAGGGGCAATAGGGGAATTGTAGTTAGGGAAGAGAATAATTAGAGGGAGCAATTGTAACGGTTTGGAGAGAGAAAGTGGGCTTGCGCCGTAGGGAATGGGAGCGCGGGGTTTGAGGTAGATATAGTCCCCTAGAATGTAGGAGGAGGGCAGTCTTGATTTCAGTGTTAGGGAGGTAGTAAGGAGAGTTACCCACCCTCTCGAATTGGTGGGGTGCCTCTGTATCGCCTACGGGCTTAATTCAATTAATTCCAAGAAACATTGTGAGGGAATACCTCACAGAAAACCTTCCCCAAAGAACTATACAATCACAGCTTTCCAATCCCGTATAATCATTTGAAGACTATAATTACAAAAAACCTTCTTGTGGATGGAAGCCCACCAAGAAGCCATATGCTGTATATTCACAAAAAGAGAATCCACCGAGGACTTCTTATCTTCAAAAAGTCTACTATTCCTTTCTCTCCACAAAAGCCAAAGTAACGCTCTAGCTGCACAATTCCATGTTACATAGGTAGTTAGATGCAAGTATATTTGAAAATATAGAAAGTTTCTGGTATTACAATGAGAAGGACTACAGATGAACAAACTAGTTAGAGGCAATAACAAAAGAAAGTCGTGTCAACCAAGAATTCAAATTTATGGAAGTAGTCTAACATAGACAAACAAAATCAAACAAACCTGTATCAAGGGGTACCATTGGTAGGAGCCCCTTATTCCCGAACAAAGTAATTCAAATCTTTATACTCAACAAACCTTAAAACGGGGATCAAATGCTATCTTTGGCAGTTCCTTGTCCCATTTAGAGAATGGTGCCACTCCCTGCTCCTTAAGCATCTCCTACAATTACAACATAATGATCACTTTCCAGTTTCCACCAGAACAGTTGAGGTTGCAGAGGATAGAAATTTCTTAAACTTAAGATAACATGATCGAGAACATATGATGGCAACTTCAAGAATGATAGTAAGCAGGAAGTACATACAAATCAAGACCATGATCAATGATTAGAAACATGACGTGGCTACACTAATAGGCCAACAACCAGACCTGCTTTCCATTCCAATAAATGTTGGCCTGATGAAGGGGAGCAGCTTAATTTCCCTAACCTTTTCAACTTGCTCCATGAATGGAGCAGCAAGCTTGGCTGACTGTTTCATAATGGTTGTGAAATTAATGCATCTACATCACAGAGGCTAAAAAGCCCGCCCAAGATCCGGATGCATAAGAAAGACAAATTTTTTAATAAGACACTAAGTTTTCATTGAGAAACATGAAAGAATATACAAGGCGCATACAAAAAAACAAGCCCACCAAAAGGAAAACCACCTACAAGAAGGGACCCAATCCAAATTAGAATGAACTTGATATTCCATAGCAACAAAAAAGTTTATAGCAAAAAAGACAAAAACTTCATCTAGTATCGAACTGTCAAAAGTTTAACTTTTAAGGCAGGATGAATAGGAAGAACAAAATGCATAAGATTATTATGTTGATCTGCAATCAAGGGCAAGTAAGATGATACCTTAAACTGGATAATTAACTGCTCATTAGTTGGCCCACAATCTACATCTCCGTAGTCTGAGGAGGTGTCCAATACATTTGCATCACCACTAGCATCTTTTGACTTATCCTTGCTGTTCTCACTCTGCAGTCCCTTAACTGCAGCGTCAGCATCTCTCGGCAGATCTACATCTGATTGGGCTATTGTTGGTGCTGAAACAGGCAATGAAGCTATAGGAGTTCTAGAATCTTGTAATTTTTTCTTGATCAAATCCAGGGCAGATGATGATGCTGATATTCCTATCGTTCTAAGAGGCATGGCTTCACCACCACCCGTGTTAACGACAGGAGTACTGATACTTATACTGATAGGGGCAGATCCTTGTTCAGTTAATGCATTACTATTTGGTACAGGAATTGAATGTTACTTTGTTTTTTCATCATTATGCTGCCTCAATTCACTCACTTCATTTGGGATATGCCAACTGCTAATCTGATTTCGAGAGGGAGAGAGAGAGTCAAGTTGGCACCACTAAAAGGTTAAAATTTCATGGCTAAAACTTACTATCAATCTAAATTACTACAACAGTCATACGTTCCATAACAACATTCTAAGGTAAGGGACAGAGAATGCAGAAATATAATTTTGAGGATCATGTTCTTCATCAATGAGTTTAAAGAACATATGTCTAATGATACATGAACCATCTGGCTGGAGACGCCTTTTCTAAGAAATAAATCCACTTTTCAGCCAGTGCCTACCTCATATAGTTATGACAGCAGATACATTTTAGCTTCTTTTCTAGTTACTTCGTGGAAATAATACATGTTATTTTCTATGTTTTTAATGGAATAGCATCATCAATTCTCTACTAATAAAATCAAACACAGACACATAAACAGAGAAGAACAATAGGGTAGTTATGTCTAAAAGACCGCTAACACAAGAAAATAAATGAAATTTGCCGCTTAGGTCCTTCAACATATAGAAAAGCTTTTAAGAACTAAATTCAGTGGACTAGTTTCTCATATAAACAAGTTGTTATGAACAGGAAAAAGCTCCAGATACCTATTTCAAACAAGAAAAATTCCAGTCTCCCTCTTTTTCGAATACTTGATTTTATATACAAATCCTTGTTCCCTATCATAACGGGAAAAAAATACAAGAAAAAAGGATCATTAACTTTGTCTTATTATTGTAGAAATTCTTTTTACCATCACTCATACAGACCAAAACCCAATCAGTACCGGACAAGTTCGCCCTACAAACAATAGAACCTAATCACATTCATCGGTTAATCACTATTTATCACATTCTAATAACCAAGATGTGTATCCATGAGTCGCAAAGTTTGGGGAAGAGGTAATCTTTGTTAGGCCTCCTAAAAGTCAACAGCTAGGAAGAAACAAGGCCCGAAATTTATGCCAATGCCAAGAGGATGAACTAGTATAAATGAAGGGAAAAGCGCCCACTACAGAGATGTATATTGTTGATTCTCAAAAAACCATTTGATATTAATATTCCAAGGACAGCACCCAGAAATGCCCAACAATATCAAGTAAGTGGTTTCAACCATGGTAGGCAAAGCAGCCGTAAGGGATGGCCCACTTTGGTAAGGGCTTGGGATCTCTTGGTCATTCCGACTTAGAGGTCTCAAGTTAAACCTTTGGGAGAGCTTAATACAAAAAGCTCCTGATGTCTCTCGGGTCAGGGCCTTGGGGTGGGTKCCCCCATGTATAAGAGAGCAAAGCTTCGAATCCCGATTATCAAAAAAAAAAAAAAAACTATTGTAGGCAAAGCAGTGAATAAACAGATGGTTTATATATTCCCTGGCATTTCTATAACTTTTTGTTTTCAGGGTAATAAACAAGTCAATATTGAAATAAATGGGTGGATAAGAAAAACTATCAAACTCGTATGATGTTATATATTTGGATCGAGATAAATAGATTACCAGAAGAGTGCTTAAAGATACGGAAAAGGAGAATGGAGCTTTCCCTACTTGGTTTAATATACAGCATCTAATTGGAGCTCCCTCTAAAATAGGCCTTTTCATACATTTTCTACCTTTTGATCATTGTGAATTAGAGGTCACCCTATTGTAAGCTCCCCTAGACCCTGGATTAGGTGGTGCCCTATCCCTTTTCCTGCTTGTTTGTCTGCTCTTTTCTTCAATGAATACACCATTTTTCTTGATTTCTTTTTTTATAACCCGAAATAGATAGCTCTTTATCTTTTTTACCTCTATAACCGGGACAATGCAAACCCAGAGACATCCAGAGTTTTTGGTATTAAGCTTACCCAAAGGTTCGAACACAAGATCTCAAACACAAGACCTCATGATAGGTGATACCACAAGGCCCCATGCCCTTGAGAGCCTTCTTGATTTAAAATAATCTTTTAGATCATTTGAAGCAACTTTCAGGCTTAAGATCCACATGGCCAAAAGTTATCATGCCAGCATCTATAGCTCTAGGGACAAATAGGAGAACTAGCAAGCTACCTTCATTTCCTATTAGCCGACTGGCAATGAAACAGTTGGGTTGCTTAGCTTCCATGAAATAGTTGAATTACTTTGCCTCTTTTCATAAGAAACTCATATTCATTGTGCATGAAATTTACTAGACAAATCACAGAACTTCTCAAGGACTACAAAGCAAACTCACAGGAGTTCGTATAATATAAGGAGAGTAGTTAGAAAAAAGTCTGAACGAACTCCAAATGAAAGCAATAATAAATATTTGGCCACACCTCCCACAAGACATTTTACCATAGAAGATTAGTTCTTCACTTGAGATTGCACTTGCAAACAACAAATTAAAGACACTCTTTAACTAAGGCGGAATAAGCCTTCCTTTTACACAAACAAATTTTTCATAATATATTGTGGAAGAAAAACACTCAAATTTAATTTCTTTTCCAAAGACAAATTGAGTTAATTACAAAAAAATAAATAAATAAAGGTGTAATTATAGAACTTTTTTCCTAAGGAACACAAATTCTCAAACCTAAAAGGAGTGGACCTAAGTTGAATTGCCTGGTTCAAGTAAGAAGAGAGAACGATTCTATCCAATCCAGAAATCCTCCCATGAAAAATTACCAAAGAGGGGTTGATGGTTAATCAATGATGAGTTCGAATTTTTTAATGCTCTCAAACATCCTCCTATCATCAATTTTTCATATACCCATCAAGCTTCAAATGAAAAGTTCTTCCTTAAGGGTGGTAGAGATTGATCCTTATTCAATAGGTGTTAAGTGGGATTCTCATTAACTTCATGTCTTTGTTCAGAATCCCTCTACCACAAGTTGTAGGCAGTAGAACACTATAAGGGATTTTCTATGGAAGGGAGTCAAGGAGCGCATCCCACTTGGTGGGATGGAAGATTGTTTAAAAATTGGTTGAGCCGGGTGGTTTATGCATAAATTCAAAATCAATTGAGTTAGATGGCTTGGGCATAGAAAATCGAAGAGTGCACAATGAGGCCCATCTAGCTAAGTAGTTATGATGGTTTGGTTTCCCTTTATGGCCTAACACTTTATGGCATAGATTCATTGTGAGCAAATATGAGATCAACCTTTTGAGTGGGTATCATTCCATGGGGCTAGAGGGGTGGATGCCTGTTTAGGAAGATTGTTGGTTAGGCAAGTACCCTTTAGTCTTCATTTCAAAATTGATTTTTGGTTAGACACAGAAAAATGGTGAGTACACAATGAGGCCCATCTAGCTAAGTAGTTATGATGTTTTAGTTTCCCTTTACGGCCTAACACTTTATGGCATAGATTCATTGTGAGCAAATTTGAGATCAAACTTTTGAGTGGGTATCATTCCGTGGGGCTAGAAGAGTGGATTCCTATTTAGGAAAATTGTTGTTTAGGCACCAAAGCCGAAACTCTATGAAAGCACATTACTCAATCCTCTTTCATTCCCCCTTTTGTTTGAAAATAGAATATCAAAACATATAGGTCTAGTTCAATTATAAACTTTAAAACACCCACAATTACAAATTTAAATATTCACAATAATTTTAGAAGATAAACAATCGAAGTATCCAAACTTTGAACATTCCACAATCACAAATTTAAAACCGAAAACATTTAAGAATTATAACTTAAATACCCCCAACCACATGATTTAAAAATCATAACATTCACAAAATTACGAGATCATATAGACCAACCCAAACCACATAACCAGCATAGATAGTCCAGATATCAAAATACCCGAAATTCCAGCAAGCTTAAACTCGTGAAGTAGTTAAAAGACTTCCACAAATTTAATCGTATAAAAACACCCACAAAATTTCAGAATTTGTAAACTTTAAACACCACAATATTCCACAAACATAAACTCAAATGGTCCAATGATCTCCAAGTTTTCAGCAAACACTGATAAGACAGTTTTAAATAACTACAAATTTTAGAACTCAAATCTCATACAAAATTCCCAAATACCCATAAACTTCTAAGTATCAAAATCTCATATAAGAAAACGTCCACTCACCTTAAGGGAAATAATGTAGATCTATGTTGTCGGAGTGGTTAGCATGTTGTCAGAGGTCTGAGTGTCGTTGGTCGGACGTCTCGTATTTGCCGTGAGTCGACGGAGTTCGGAGCAGCACCATGATTCAGAATTCCGTCGGGCTCGTGAAGGTCGCCGTGGGTATATTGCAGGTCGCCGCGCGTCGCCGGACTGAGTCTCGCCGCGGCCGGGTGTCGTGCGTCGTTGTGGG